GCATAAGAATCTCTGACCTTTGATGATATGAAGTGAACAAGAAGATTGTTATGTGTTTCTATCCCAAGGGATTTTCTTTATCCTTCCTAAAAGATTTTAATACTGCCACAATTGGCAAACTTTTTATGGACTACCCAGCAGCAAAGGCAGAAAGATAAATCCACAATTAAAGGTAGTCACACAAACAGAAAAATATGTTGGTTGCTCTCTAAACCTTTTTTAAACCGTAAATATATAGTCATGTGGAAAAGCCATGTGAAAACCCACTAAAATCTTGCAAAGGAATTTTGCATGGAGAAGCGTTATGAAAAATGTAACCGAGTTGATGTCAGAGAATGGTGGACAGAATGGTGCAAAATGCCTAGTGGAAGTAATTTCTGCTAAAGGGGACAATATCGGCTTCTGAGGCTAAGGTGTACTTTTCACAGTACACTATTATATTGTTGTTTTTGTTTTTCTTTCTGTTCTTTTTAAGTTTACCACCTTTTCTGTAGGCACTGTTTGAATTGGGATCTAATGTTTGCCTGTTCAAATGTATTCAAAAAGTAATCAATTTCTGTGCGATGTACTTATTTTTCAAATTACTGTAGTTCATGCAAAAGGACCGTAGTGGTTGTTAGGAGGCAATTAATATACCCATAGGGTTGGAGTGCTTAGATTGCTACTATGGTGAATGAAGGCCTACCATGTTCATTACCCAGTTGTCATTACACAGTGCACACTATCTAATATGCATTTGAGATATAAAGATATCTATAAGCATTGGACAACACATGAGAATCATTAAATATTTGACTATATAAAGTATTTCTGTTTAATTTAAGACATGTATATGCATGTGCTATGAGTTACTGCCTCACCTCTGATTTTTAGAATATTGGAGGAAACAATCTCTTAGCCAATGTTTATCTGGTAATATGATATTATGTGTTATCCATTACTTTGCCATCTTGCTTTTTTTGTCAATAATTTACAAAAATTCCTATATGTTTCGGTATTAAAGAGGTTCACTCACATCTTGACTACATGTGCACCTATTTTAATTTAATATTATTATTATTAATGTTTTATTATTTTGATTTATTACATATTTTATTTCTTTATTTTGCATATTGTGTGCTGCATAATAGTTTTTCTGATCAGTTTTCAAGTGTGAAAACCCTTTAAGAAGAATTCCCTTTAATGTTACTTTTTAGTTTCTGGTGAATGGGGCAATCTTACCCTTTACCCGATCCTCATTACCATCTTTTCCCAGGCCTAATGTGACAACCCAGGCTCAGCTGTGAGCTGGTTTTTCCAGTTCTGTTGTCTGGAGTGCATCTTCATATTTTTCTACACTGAGTGGCCAGATTATTATGACCACCCCATCAGTACTTCGTTGGGCCACGAGATAACTCCACGAGATGGCTTCGTTGGGCCGCCTCGTGACTCCACGAGATGTTGAAAGGTGATGCAAGGAATCTGAAACTGCACTGTTGCCCTTCTGTTGTCTTGTACCAGTCTTGCCACTCTCTGTTCTGCCCTAACATTGACTAGTCGCTGACGGCCACAATTCGCACGTTCAGACCCAGATTTTCGGCTGACAGTCCAGTCTTTAAACACTTTAACAACTGCTCTTGAACATTTAACGAATTCTGCTGTTTTGCTGATACTCGCTCCATGGCTCCGAGCGCCAACAATCATCCCATGTTCAAAGGCTGTTAAATTGCGTTGTTTACCCATATCTTCAGAAACAAATCACTTCTACTGTCGTAAACAACCTGCTTCCCTATTTATAATGGTCTGGCCCTCTAGCAACTTCAGCACGAAATTATAGCTAATTTGCCTACAAACATCAGGTGGTCATAATAATCTGGCCACTGTGTATATAGAGTCCACTGCAAACTGGTGACACCAGCATTATATTTCTTCCTGAAGACCAATGGTTTCTTCCCAGGAATATATGTACAATGCATTCCAAAGTGGGAACTAGGATGTCCAAGTTATGAGGCATCCTGTCCACCAGGGTTACACACAGAAGATACTTAATGGGGCTTTTTCTTACTCTATAAACTAAATAAAATATTTTGGACCTATATCAGACTACATATATCACCATTGCTATTTTGTTTTAGTGAAGCTGAAGTTCAATTTACTATTGACATCCAATTACTATAACAATTCTATGTTATGGTTATAAGATACAGAGTAGTGATTTAGGGTCTGTTATACTGTACCATGTCGGTACAATCCAGACAAATTACGATTTTGCTGGGCACAAACCAAAATGTTAAAAAATCACGTTTCAGAAGTGTGATGCCAGTGTTCGTTTTTTTTAAATCCAGAACAGATTAGTTGTTGTAGTTAATCCAGTATATCATCTTGTAAAATCGTAACAAACAATTTCAGGCAGTAAGTGAAACCAATCAGTGAGCTGCTAATGCTGTTTGGCTTTCATGGCTACTGTGCAGAAATTAGAAAGATCACCTGGTTTACGTATTTTCTTCTCACAGGGTCACCACAAGTGTACTTCCTTAAGCCTGTATCTTAACGTCTTTTTCTCTTCCCTCTTCTGTCTCTTCTTTTTCTCTTCCTTCCCTTTCTCCTCTCCTGATTCCCATTTATTTTACTGCCAATTTGTACTTAGTTTTTAAGGCTGTCTGGATATAAGAGTCAGCAAGGAGCATACAGTGGGAGTATTGGAGAATAGCTCTCCTGTATCTCAAACAATGGTTCTTTTATAATCAGGTTACAAACAGAAAGGACTTCATTGTTACAATGTACACTATAGGACTGGTTTGTAACTTGCATTCATCAGTCTACCAAGGTTGACTTTCTACTAAGGAAAAGATCTTGAATTAATATAGGAGCCTATAGTTTTCAAATATATTGGTGAACATTGGTCATTGATTGAACATTGATGAGCAAAAGAATGGACCACGAATTGCTAGATCTGTTTAATCTGGCATTATGCATTGTTTAAAGCTTGTATTGGAAACTGCACTAATGGATATAAGATAATGTACTTCTATATAGTACTTGTATGACAATCATTCCTGCCATTCAATACCCAAGTGCACAATCTGGAGGAGCTTGATCTTCAGCCTGATTATTGGCAGTTTTATGATGACGTAACCTGTACAATAATCTGGTATTATTGTGCTTTATAAATCCTTGGCACCTACTTGGGTATCAGAGCACTACTATATAGTTCTATGTGCACAGACAGCAAAGATATGGGGAAAAAAAGCCTTTAAGACAGGCAGGTGTCTGTTTATATTATATTTAATCATTTAGAAAAGAATCAGAATTAATGAGAGACAGAGCGAAGTCCCAGCAGCAGAGCTGCTTAACAGAGTCTTATAATTCATTAGTTTGACTGTTTCAGATCTCACTTTCAGGATGTAAGCTGAATGCCTTTAGGGTATCATAATTTTGCACAAAATAAATATTTTATCTCTCTCTAATAAATTCCCAGATGTGACTTTCACTTTGCAGCCTTTCAGTATAATAGAGGTCGGTTATGGAAAGTAATAAGATCCTATTGATATTCCACTGGGATGAATACACTTGGCCATATGTAGTTATCACAATCTCGAATACATTTTTATAAAAATTATGACAAGGAGAGACCTTTTTGTCACTGAAAAAGCACAAAGGGTTAGTTTTTACCTGACTTTTAATTTTCTGTCCTGCCCATAACAATAGTTGAAATTGAGAATGTACTTGGCATTTAAAATGAAATTTTTCTCAAATCTGCCTATAACTGTATACTGATAATATTTGAATTATTACGCAGGGATACTTACTGCACAAAAAATGGAAAATATGTGAAAGACAAACCTAATAAATGCATACTATATAACCCCTTGAAGATCTTGGATGTACGAGATAGGGCGCATCTTTTGCATCATTCAGGTCCTCTTCCTGTCACCACTCCTCCTGCTGCTATTACCAACAATTAACAGCTGGTGATTGTTTTGTATTACACAGCTGGATTGGCTGTCAAAATGCAACTGCTCTTGTGTAAAATTACTAGGGATACACTGATATTGGTACTGGTACTCGATACCGAAAAGCCAGTATTTGTTTTCTTCTGTGCTCGCCGATACCGAATACCGGCATCCGTGGGCTCAGATTATCAGGAAGCTGGACGGCAGGTGAGGCCCGACTCCCTGATTGCCTGCGATGCCAGTGTTCTATCGAAAGAACACCGGCTTCACTACCCTCGTGACACTGTGAGCCACCAGGCTTCCTGATTGGCTAGGAAGTCAGCTTCGCTTGTTGCTAGGCAGCCTGACTTCCTGACCAATCAGGAAGCCAGGCAGCCTAGCAAGAAGTGAAGCCGGCTTCCCAGCCAATCAGGAAGCCGTGAGGCGGCTCCATTCTACCTCGCGGCACTGCCGGTCAGAGGGAGATATCCCTCTGACCGGAAGTTCCCGTATCGGGGTTAAGTATCGGAGCATTTGGCAGAGTACTAGTACACGCCCAAATACTCGAAATCGGTACCGATACTAGTATCAGTATCGGTGCCTCCCTAAAAATTACCTTTGCAGATAGTTTTTTTTTTTTCTTCTATTCGTACTTTATTAACTTGTTTTAATAACAATTCTTTTACAACACCTTAACTCCAAGTTATGTCTAATCAGCTCATTACATCCTTCCTACTTGGCTATTATTTATCTTCTAATTTTGTTTTCTATTTTGTTATTTTTAAAATTTTCTTACCATTTTTTTCCTGTTCATTAATTTTGTGATTTACTTGTTTCAGTGTTGCGTAACAAGAAAAGTTACAAAATTGAAAAAAACAAACCACAATTTAATTTGCAAATCGCTTATTCATAACTTAATGACTTTTTTTTTTACACTAACACTGGTCTTTGTACTTTTTTGCCTAGATTCCATAAAAAATTTAATTTAGCTATAACATGTCAATCATTTTCATAAATATAAATTGACTATAACATTTTTCAGGCCTTTGTGAGTGACTCATACTAAGCTGTATATATTTTCTTCACTAGCTGCCCAGCTGGACAACGTTGGCTTCAGCATTATCCGGAAGTGTATCCAAGCAGTGGAAACAAGAGGTAAGGACGAGTGGGTGCAGCATATGGCATGAAGCTTAGGTCAATTTGATTATCGCAATAAAGGCTGCACAGCTGTGAGTAACATGGTGTTTCTCACGTGCTTAGGAAATAGTTATGACAAATCATCAATAAATGATGTCTGCAAACATTTCCAAGTTCTGACCAAATTAGATTTTATTTCAATCTGACTACACTCTGTTACACTTACTGTGCCTTATATTTTTTAGTTGAAAAGAATCCTATTAGAATGATCAGTTCCTAGCTGTATTTTTTTTTTATATTGATCAACAATAACAATAACACACATAGGCCACTGTCAGGCAAATTATGACAGTCAAGACATTATTTGGTTACAACTAGACTGTAGGAGGTTAACTATAGATATTAGAGGGCACCTGCAGTATACTGCATAAGCCAGTCACAGATGTTTGTTTATTTTGTCCATTGAACTTGTGTATTAAGGACCCCTGTTAGGTTTCTACTGCTATCCAGGGCTCCATTATAGATATTTATCCTTCCAGTCCTGCTGACAATATTTTACCAGACAGGAAGTTGGAGTAACTCTCCAATAGCAACATTAACAGAATACAAATTATTTTAATTATAAGAGTAGAGGAAGGCAAGGACACCTGTCAGATTTGTATTTCAGTCCGTGTCCCTGTTGCAGATTTTTTCCTAGTTGTCTGACAAAGCCATAGTCCGCAGGGCAGGAAGTACAATCCTGACAAGTTGTAAACTTTTCCCATGCTATCCAGAGCTCTAGGCTTGACATATACTTTAAAGCAGGGGTTAGGCAACCTTTGCTCTCCAGCTGTGCTGAAACTACAAATCCCATTATGTTTCTGCCTCTGGGAGTCATGCCTGTGGCTTGCAATGCCTTATGGGATTTGTAGTTTCGGCACAGCTGGGGAGCCAAGGTTGCCTACCCCTGCTTTAAGGCAAAGGCCATGATTATTGCAGAAGAGATGGGCTCTCTAAATAATGCTGCTTGTTGCCTTGAATTTTATGAAATAGTATAGTTCATAGTACACAAGTGAAGCACCTGAATGCATATTCATGAACTAAACACACTGTTTACTCTGCATATTTAAAACCAATAATGTAAATAGAACAAAGCAGTTTGTGACTTTAAAACTATTAAAAAAAATATATGATAATTAGAGCTGCAGCTAACGATTATTTTCAAAATCGATGAGTTAGCCGATTATAACGTTCGATTAATCGGATAAAAAAAATAAAATACATTTTAAAAAATGGCTCCAAAACTACTAGTTTGTATTGAGATTGTAGTCCATCACAGGAGCATGCTTGGAGCGGTGGAAGTAAAAAAAGAAGAAAAAAAAAAAGTGTGGTGTGCAACATAGTGAAATGGAAAGTGTAAAATTATACAGCAATGAATGCAGAATGGCACCGGCTATAGAGGACTAAAAATCCCAGCAATAGTACATTATACAGCACAATGCAGGATACCATCAGCTATAGAGGAATACAACAAATACCAGCAATAGTACCTTATAGCTAGTGGTATTAGGCATTGCACCACTGTATAATGTATTATTGCTGGGAATTATTGTAGTCCTCTATAGCTGGTGGTATTGCGCTGTATAATGTATTATTGCTGGGATTTGTAGTCCTCTATACAGCGCAATGCAGAATACCATCAGCTATAAAGGACTACAAATCCCAGCAATAGTACATTTATACAGCACAATGCAGAATACCATCAGCTATAGAGGAATACAACAAATCCCAGCAATACATTATACATACAGTGTACAATGTATTGCTGGGATTTGTATTCCTCTATAGCTGATGGTACATTGCTCTGTATAACATACAGCACAATGTACCATCAGCTATAGAGGAATACAAATCCCAGCAATACATTATAGAGCACCATGTGTGGGAAAGTGCAGGCTTACCTGAGCATTCTTCCAGCAACCTGCTTCTGAGATCAGGCCTGTATCGGCGGCTGTCATCTCCCCACACCTGCTCCTCCTTCTCCCCGCGTCCCTGTGCCGATCGTGAATAAGGCCGGGCAGTGAGCGTGAGGCACGGAGGAGGTGCGGCGTGGATGCGGGTCTGGCAGCGGCGAGCAGGAGGTGTGGCAATATCACATCCTGAACACCAGGCAGCAGCTGCTCTATTGCCCCCTGACAAGTGGTCGACTGTGAATCAGTTTTCAGAGGATAGTGGAGCATGCCGATTATCTAAATGTCTTTGTTCTTATATGAATCATTTTTGGTTCCTGAGGTAATCTTTCAGCAGTCCAATATCTATGGCTAATCTCTGGTATTATCCATACTTCTGTATTAAAAGTTATAAATGAAAGTGAAAACCTATTCATTTTCATGTCATCGAGTAAGATGAGAAGTGGATGTTTTATCTCCTTAGAGTGACTCTAAACTCAGGAGTTAACTCTTAAAAATGGATTCAATTACCTTAAAGGAGAACTATGAGGTGAGATCTTTTCACTCACCTCATAGTTCTAGCCGACCTGTGACAAAGACTGTCACAGGTCGGCTCAGTAGATCGGGAGGTGAGCGAACACATATACCGGCATTCGCTCACCTCTCGATCCTGTCACGGCTCTCTGCCGTGACAGGGGAGGGGCTGGATTCCCCACTCCGATCCGCCAGCGCTGACTGGCGGAACGGGCAGGTACAGCTGGCTCTGCCTCTAGATAGGCAAAGCCAGCTGTCAGTCACGCAGCTGGGCGGATCCCAGCACAATTGTCGCGATCCGCTTCAGCGTCTCGGTATACCGCAAACAGCTGCTCACAGTATACTGCGGCGTCTCAGTATACCGCGAGCTACAGCTCGCGGTATACTGAGCTTAGGGTGACGGGAGGACGCTAGTTTGTGTCCTCCCGTTACCCTAAGGAGAACCATGGGGAAAAGCCTTAACCCCATAGTTCTCCTTTAACTACTATAGCCAATTAGTTATATGTAATATCAAATGCAAAAAATGTGGTATACAAGAAATATTTAACTAAAATATCAGAGTTGATTTGCTGACACATAATCTGTCCTAATAGGTTTAATGCATCCCCTAACTGACAAGGTAATGATATGCTCCTGTGCTGATCCAGCCGTGTTAGGGATACCCCTAGGAGGTAATCACATGTACTAATGATATTATCAATGCTTGTTATTGCTCACAGAGATTTTCCAGAATTCAGGACACAACCCATAATGTAGGTTGTCCATAAGGACAGTTGTAAAGGCTGCAGGCTGAAGGAAGGATAGTTCCCCTGTTCCATTATTAGGTGTAGGTTTTTATGGTTCAGAGGGAAGAAGTAATGTTTTCTGGTCTCATTTTTAAAGGGAAACTGCCGTGACAGGGGAGGGGCTGGATTCCCCGCTCCGATCCGCCAGCGCTGACTGGCGGAACGGGGGGTACAGCTGGCTCTGCCTCTGATAGGCAAAGCCAGCTGTCAGTCACGCAGCTGGGCGGATCCCGGCACCATTGTCGGGATCCGCTTCAGCGTCTCCGTATACCGCGAGCAGCTGCTCACAGTATACTGCGGCCTCTCAGTATACCGCGAGCTACAGCTCGCGGTATACTGAGCTTAGGGTGACGGGAGGACGCTAGTTTGTGTCCTCCCGTTACCCTAAGGAAAACTATGGGGAAAAGACTTAACCCCATAGTTCTCCTTTAACTATGATCAAATACAACTGGTACAATTGTTAAAACAACATTAAAGGTACAGCTAATTATGCCAAGGGTGAACCTTTGGATTTATGTAATATTTGATAGTGACTGATGTGACATCAATGAATAAATGCTGTTAATGAAACTAGAGTTTGGAATATTTATTGGCTGTGGGTATACAGCATGGCTGCTGTATCCTGAGCGTAGTACATGAAGAGAAAAAAAGAAGGTACAGGGAAAGGGGCAAAGGCTGTTGGGTCAAGAGTAGGGTTGGGAAGTTTGGTTAAGGAGACAGCCCCATATAACTTAGTTGCTGTACAATGTTAAACGCATCCTCATAGGAGGTCTGACGGCGAGATCAGTTCATGCCAGGGCTTTGAACTTTTCATGTAGACGATCCAAGAAGACATACAAATATCCCACGGAGTGAATAAAATACAAGCTGACAATGTTTTCAAAGCATGGCTAAAAAAGGCTTCTGCAAACTTCAGGAAACCAGGCCCAAAACAATAGTGTTGACTAGCTTTGAAGCTGTATTGACCCTGGAGCATGAATGTCTCCTATTAGCAAAGTTGTCTACAGCAGGCTGCAGGCCATCAGATATGCTGATCATATAAATGCAAATGTCCATCAACAACCAAGGTTATAGAATTTGGATGCCCTTAACAATCATTCCAAAGTGACATAGAATGCTTTTAAATATAAGTGTAATGACATTCTATTCATAGATTTTACATTCATAGATTTCATGTAAAATCATACACTTGCTTGCAGATATTTGAACTGTAGAATCCCCACTTTGCGGAGCTGGCCAGAGACATTAAGCCCTTAATTATAGTATATAGTTGGCCTTTATCAGTTGAGAGCATATTGCAACAATATCAGAGACAGAGCCAACAGAAAATGCTACTCAGAGTTTTAGATAAGTACTTTACCCATCCTGGTATACTGTGGTGTACCACAGTCGGCTCATTCCAGTGGAACAACTGTGATCCTGTCCATGGTGATCTCAGATGAGTCATTTAGCAGCAGCAGAACAGGATGGTTATTGAGCAACATTATACCTCATGTCATGATGCCTTGACACTGCCAAGACTTATTAAATATGCTATGGGGTGCCCAGCTTCTATCAGCTTTGTTGTGGATGATTTGTACATTAGTGTTAGTGCTGGGAAAGGTACAGTAGGGGTGTATACTACTGTGGAGGTGATAAATACTGTGGGGGTGAATCTATTGCTAATAGCTCTGCTACTTTTCATTTATGCAAGAATTATTAGATCAATGATGGCATGTAGTAGACAGAGGTCATCTGGGCAGGCAAAGGGTTCCATCTGTATTTTGCTATG